GTTGAATTAAAGCCATATTCAGGCTGGTGTCAAAATAAGACTCAAAGAAATGTAACTTAAACTACAATAATTCCAAATTTGAAATAAAGAAAGATTTGTCATTGCTAGCTTTTAAAAAAATAAGGATGACTTCCTCTTTTAGATAATTATGTCCTAGTTCAACGCATCTGATTTCATCCTAGTGAAACCCCAATAACCCTAAGAACACCTTCCAGAATTTTTCTCTCTCAAAATATGATACAAAGCTCTTGTCCTTAAAATAAAAAAGCTTCTCATTTTTCCCAAACATACAAAAAACGTCCACATACTAACAACCAGCAAAAAAAAAACAGAAATCTACCGAATAAAACAATGTGAAAATATAAAGCTTCTTGCTGGTACTGCAAGTGCTGAGGTTAGGCTTTAGAAATTGATTTGAGTCAGCATATTTTATCTCCCACGAAATTGAATAGGAATAAAAAAGAACGAAAGAAAAAAAAACTTTCTTTGTGTGTGCTACTTTCTTAATCAATGCTTGCCTGTCTGTCTTCTCACTTCTGCTACGATCATCAATATTTGATGCTCGAATATTCATTTCTTACCGCTTAATTTTGGATTCAAATTTACTTTTTCTCTGTCTTGTTCATTTGTTTGGCGCGTGCTGAATGTGTGGAAGTGAATGTGGTGTGTAAAAATCTTTAAACAATCAAAATGCGGGCACGTATTGATGAAACTAAATAATGCATTAAGGGTTGGATGACTAGGAGGTATGTGTAGATCTGCCATATGTGTAAACCAATGTAAAACAGGTCAGGTTTGATGGGAATTGAAACCATGACCTCAAAAGGGGCGATCTCTGAACACTCGATCAGATATCCCTGCTACTCAGCCATTGAGGTACTTATCTCACTTTGGCTATCCTTCATACAAATTTAATCATTTCAACGCGAGCCCTATGCTCAGGCCTATGTACTACAGATGCTTATCGAACCATATCCATAGTATGCAGTTTTAAATAACATAGGGTTCGGTCTTCGTCTTAAGACCAAGTACAAGGATCAAGACATGAAATAACATCATCAGAAGCGTAGAGCATAGTTTAAGATTAATTTTCAACTCCTTCGTCCATTAAAAATTCGAAAAAACTTTATCCAAAGCTAATCTATCTCATTAACCGACATCCATCTCTCACATACACCCACGCAGAGCAGTTATGGAAGGACAATGAAGCACGAAAGGAGGGCAAAAGTATAAAAGAAATAAGCTAAAAACTTGTCACATAATAAATGGAATGGAAATCGAAATAAATGGGAAAAGTTTGTAAATATTCCTTTCATGCTCGAGATACCACGACAACAAGCGATGACTATCACGGAATGAGTAGACTATTATAGCATTCACTATATCATGAAGCAATTTTCTTTCATTTTCTTCCTTCTTTTCTTGTGTGTGAACAATTGAAAAAAAAAATCTAAAAGTGCTTTTTTCTTCTCCTTCTTTTTTGAGCAATTGCCTTAACTACTGCTGCTGCTTAATGCCACTTCTAGAACATTAAATATCTTTTCTATATCCATTCAATAACAAAAGAAAGAAATTTGTCTCACTTTTTTTTTTCTTTGGATGTCATAAACAGCAGCAAGAATCGCAAAATGATGCGAATGTTTTTGAAAATTTTTATAGCCACATTCGACTCGATATTGCACGACATAAATTTTAAACTTTTGCTTTGTATTTCTCTTTTGTGATGAGAGAAACTTTTTTTTTTGCTGGCTTTTTATGTGCTTGAGAGGGAGCTGAATGAAGCTTTTATGAGAAAAATTCTCTATTGTGTAAGACTGAAACTGAGAGACATGGCTGGATATTTTCGATGAGAAAATTGATATTTTCGAAGTTTGAAAAAAAGAGCTTTTTTGGGGATCATTTTGAGAATGAATTGGGGTATGAAATTGAGGAACTTACTCTCTTTTAAAATATGAGCTCATTTTTACACTCATTTGTGGATAAAAGCTTTCAAAAATTTAATAACTTTAAAGAATGGCATGTAAATGTAAGCAATATAGTCAATCTAGGGGCCAACTCTTAATTAAAAGGCATTTTTTAATTTGGTCGAAACTTGTTTGTGCCATTGACCAAGACATACAGCTTTATATAAAGGAGTGCCAAAAAAATTATAAAATACACAACTTTCTCTGCATGAAGCTGTGAAGTCGCCAAATGAAAAACTGGTTGAAATGCCCAAATTCTTAATTATTTCTAACCCCCTAAATATATGCTAGGCTACTTAATTTAAATAAGCGTAGATCTGGATGTTGTCTGGCTTTGAGTATGAGAAATAGTTATTTAAGTCAGCCAATAGCAGTTGTAGGGAATTTTTTTGATGCCACTATTACTTGGTGATAAACTATGATCAAGACCGCACAAGACACATGATTCTTAAATTATCTCAAGGTTTTCTCCCAATTTTTTCTTGACAACCTACATGTACAGCGACCCATGGGTTGCCCATCACTTATTGTAGCAATTCTAGGTGGGGGGGGGGGGGGGCGGAAGCCTTTGTCAACATAAATTTCTTTAATTTGCTAGGGTTTTATGAAAAAAATGCTAAAGTTTATTACACTTATGCCTTAGTAAAGATGCCCGTAGGACATCCTTAGGTGTGCCGTTGCAAAATATTAAAATACATAAAGTCAAAGTGTGCCGTGGCTGAAAACAGTTTGGACAACACTGCCCTAGTCTAATTCCTGACTATACCCTTGGTTGGCAGATACTTAACCTCGATTATTTGACTCGCAAATTTTTGTTTCTTTTAAATTTGAATAATCACTAAAATATTGTTCTTATAAATATAAGGTGCAAGCTGTAATTGCTTCAAATCTACATGTAGCTATATTTTTTTTAAGTTCATGAAAAGTTAGAAAAACTGTCACCAAAAAAAAATTCTCTTCTTTGGGAAGCCCGCCAAATTATTTTGAGAGAAGCTCTCAAAAAAACAAATTCAGTGCTAAAGAGAATGAAAATAAACTTCTCAGTTTTCAAACGCATGCTCAAAAGAAGCTGCACCTCTCGGCACCCAAGCTTCCCCTTTTTCAGATCTCTACAAAATTGCTCCTCTTCTTCCCGAACAAAAACCATTACCTTACCGAACAAGATCTCCTCTTCTCTCTGTGTGTATGTTTTTTGGGAGGAAAAATATTCATTTGATTACCGTTACCCGATGCATAAAGTCAATCTTTCTCAAAACTCCTCGTGTCGCGCGAATTTTGTGATTTTTGTGCTTAAAGTGACATTTTTTTTGTACTTAAAAAGAAAATAATTTCCTTCATGGATGTTCATGTGGATTTTTAATGACATGGGATGATGTGTGAATACAGAGTAATTTTGAATTACGAATGGATCTACTTGTGATGAGGAAATTTAATGGAAAATTTAATGAAGATGAATTTTTTTTGAAGATGATTGAATGAATATGGATGAAGTTCAGTGAATAGGAAGGAGAATTGAGAATGTTGGAAAGATTGTGAAGTTTATGAGATAAAATTGGACAGTTGAAGATTTCAGAATTCAAACTCAGAATTGCTTTGGATTTATAAAACCTTGAATAAATTTGGAAACTTAATTAATTGAAATATTGAACTAAGGTGTCATAAATGTGAAAATTCTGTTGAAAATTTAAACTCAAAGTGTTCAAAAAATTATAAAAAATGCAAAATTACCAAATGTATTTTTAATTTGAATTAAGAAATTGAAAAAAAAAGATTTATTAATGCCTAAATGCTTGAATTAAAAATTAAAAACTATCAAAATCCACATCTATTTGGATTACACTGGCTTAAAATAAATTCAAGTGTTATGAAAATAAAATCCAACAGAACATAAAATTGAGAATTAAAAATTATAATCTTTTATGTGTATAATCTTCATGTTACATTGAATAAGAAGATTAAAAAAATTCAACATATAGAAAAAAATTCATCGCGAGTTGGAAAATGTAAAAAATTTATGAAAATTGAATAGAAAACTTAGATGAGAAAACTGAGACAAAAGAGGATTTTTGTATTGTGAAATAAATTATTAATTGAAATATTCGAAGAAGATTTTGTCGGATGTGAATTAAAAGTGTGAAAAATTATTGAAAAAATCTAAAAATGAAATTAAACTTTTGAATTGAAAAATTGATGAAAAAAACTACGAAACAAAGTTATTTAAACTTGAATGAATTTTTAAAGATTTTTTGAATGCTATAAAAATTTTAAAAAATTGAAATAAAATAAAATTCTTAATTTTTTACAAGTTTGACAAAAATTAACTGGAGGAAAATTGTCCAAAAAATTAGAAATTAGTTTTAACATTTTTTCTGAATTTTTAAAATTCTTCCCTAAACAAATTTAAATCTTTGAGGATTTTCCAATTCAAAAATTTCTACAAAATCCTTAATTTCAAATTGAAACATTTTCAAAGAAATCCTCCAGAAAAATAATCAAACTCAAAACATTTTCCATAAATTCGACTCACTGCCCACAGCTTCATTCTGTCTATTTATATCCAAGATATATGCCATAATAATAAAGAAAGATCCACGAACATTACCATAGCAAAATAGATAATAACACTGTGTGCAAATGTAAATGAAAATTGTTTGTGAATTCTCATCGTAAATAAACTTTTTTTTTTCTGTGTCAAAAAAGAAGGAAGAAATAAGGCAGAAAGATTAAAGTTAGTCCTACAGAAGTCAAAAAAAGAAAAAAGGAAAAAGTTTGATTAAAAAAGATGTTTTTTTTGTGTGAACAAATTAGAATAAAAAGAGGCACAGAATGTGTAATTTGCTGATGAAATGTGCAAATGAGTGAAATTTCTCAATTTTTAACATACAAATAATTCTGCTGAGTGAAAAGTTTCTCATTCCTTAATTTATTAAGGTACTCAATTTTGGAAAAAGAAAACTTCAAAAAAATTATTTTAAGTAAAATAAAAAAAAAGAAAAGAAAAAAATGAATAGAAGTGAAACGGAAGTAGAAGAAGAGCTGAATTGTAGTCATTTATATAGTCGATATTAAAATATAGAGATTAAGTAAATTTAAACCAGGATTTGACATGGATCCACTTGCAATTTTTTGGGTATTGACAAATTCTTCGTATCTAGGTATGTGAAATTTTGTTTTTATATATTTTTAAAATTTTCAGAGGGATTAAGGGTTCGATTGATATTTTCAGGGTATTTACTTACTTATTTTGTTATATCAACTATATCAACTTTGTGAAATATTTGTTGAATAATCTCTAATTTTTCCTGATTAATCTCTTGGTGCATCTTTCATTCAACGTGATTGTAAAGATGCTCGGATATAATTATAACCATTATGAATCTATTTCGTTAGGATTGAACCATTTAAGAAAAATGGTTAAAATTTATCTTTCAAAGTTCTTGTCTGACTTATAATTTGGTCAAATTGAGTCGCAATGCTTCCAGCTCAAAAGACTGAGCACTTTCCATGATATTCCTTATAATTAAGTCAATGCTAGAATTTTTGGCTATGCAACAAAAATATAAACTCTTGATTTTGGCCAATTTTTGAGTAAGACTTAACCTCAAAAAACTCTATGAGACCGTTCTTATTTTAATTCTCAAGAAGAAGACAAATGAACAACTAGATTAGATGTGTTGAAAAAGACGCTAGAGTCTATAGTTTCGCAAACTGGCAGAAAGATAAAGCTGTCTTTAATGATCTTTAAACACGGCAATAGTGCCACGAGTGTCCTAGGCAAAGGAGGAAATAATCACATACTTACACTATAGATTAAAAAATAAAAACATTAAACCTCCAAGTTAGAATTGTATACTGACTTGCCAAGCTCATTGTCGCTTAAATTCAAAAATTTAAATTTAATTTTATTAACTCTTTTTCATCAAAAAAGAAATTTTTTCGAAAGCTTTCAAAACTCACAATTCTCATTGATGTTCCTAAAAAAACGTATTATTGACGGTACATGAGCATTTATTTGGTGCTAATTAATTTGAAATTGAATTCTGTGTATCAAAAAATGAGCCCGCATGAATTCTTTTGGGAAAATACTAATTGAAATTTTGAGTTATTAATAACAAAAATGACAAAAATTGCAAATTTTTCACAATTTTGAGTTGATATTAAACGAGTAATTTTCCTGGAAGGAAAAGATATGTCAAATTATTCTTGGAAGGTTGTTCTGCTTTTTTTTAAAATATCAATGGGACACTGTTTAACTTGGAAGTTGTGGTTGCAAATTTAAATGGTTTTGGTTGAATATGAAGACTAAATTCAACCCTCAACTCAACTTATTGGAACATTGCTTACATATGCAATGGTTTTTTGAGAAAAACCAAAAAACTTTCAAAAGACTCATTTGAAAAAAATTCTTGTTCTGCCGATTCTAGCCACAACTTTTGTGTACCTTGATCTACAAGCGCTGTATTTGACTTGATTTTTTTCTTGGAATCGAACTGAAGACCATCGTTGTAGAGACTCAAATGATCATGAGAGATCAATATCTATTGGATAGATGCACAAGTTTTTAATCTCTGGTTATCTTCTTACAGTGTGTTCTAAAAGATTCTGTCATAATTGAATCGTATTGCCTGCAGCTCAAAAGGATGGGCCCTTCTACGATTTTATCATCTTATAAATTCAATATAAATAAAAAAAAAACTTTGAAAAACCTTCAAAAAACTCTCAAACTGTTAAATTTTTTTTAAGAAATTGAAGCTCCAATATCAGCAAAAAAAAAATCAATAAACGTTCCAATTTTCACCTTAAAATTTTTTCCTCACACCTTTCAACACTTCACAAATCATCGTCAGCATCATCTTCATGTCATATCTAGTGATAGTTCATAGAAGCAACATAAACGTCAATCAAATAAAATAAAAGTTCGAATAGACGTATAAGCTTCAAGACAGAAGCACACACACAAAAAAAACTTTTACGACACTTTGCTACCATAAAAAAAGAGCTCAAATGATAAAAATGCGACTTCCTTAAAAGAGAAATTTTATTATTACAATACTCGTTATTAGAATATATCACTGCCGTACTCTATTCTTCTTCTTAATACTTCCATAGAATAAATAAATTGAATATTTTTTTCTTCCTTACACGGAAATTTATTTCATGACAGAAATGGCAAAAAAATAAAAATAAAATGAGAATGAAATTTTTTAATTTAAATCGTTTAAGCAGAAAAATTTGTTTCATGAGTTAAAATTTATGTTTGAGATTGAGGAAGAGCTTCAAGCTGTTTTTTTTTTGTGAGATGAAATTTTCTTCATTTTATGTCAATCATTATTATTTTTATATTAACATTGACAAATGAAGCTTTGTTGGGTTATTTCTTCTTGTTTTGATGGATCTACAAGTTGATTTTTTTAGTGGTTTTTTTTTCAGGAGTCTAATGGATTTTGTATCAGGGATTATGGGATTTGGAAGGGACATTTATTATTTTGGATATCTGGGAATTAAATCGTTTGTGGAGTTTTTTTGATGAATAGTTAAAAAAGGATTTTAAAAATAAAAAAATTAAATCAATTTAATAAAATTTTTAAAAATTCAAATAAAAATATTAGGCGCCGACCATAAAGAACGTCCATCATTTAAAGAGAAGGTTTTCTAGAGTTTTATAAAGGTTCGAACTAAAAACATTTTTCTTCAAACAAATGTTGTTGAAGGGGGAAGGGGGGGGGTCTCCGAAAATCTTTTTTTTCAATCACCCAGCCTGCCAGCCATCCAAAGGGGACCTATAATCGCATTGTTTTCAATGCAAAATGTGAAAAAAAATTATTTTCGAGTAAAAACAATCCAGCCGGCACCAACAAATAAAACAACTATAACAGATAAATATGAATTTTTTGACAACATTTAATCAAATTAAAATAGTTCCGAATATTATTTGGACCATTTCCAACTTTAATGCCTTTTAAATTCATAAATGAACCTTACTTTTTTGACAAAATAAATTTAATTTATTAAGTTTAAAGACTGCAAAATAAAAGTTCACGACCCTCATCACAAGAATCTCATTCAACATTTTCCACATAACCTACAAATTCGTTGTTGTCTCTGGTAAGAAAGAAAGAAGCTCAAAAAATATTAAAAATAAAATGAAAAAAAAATTTATTATGTTTCCATGGTGATTGTTGTAATATTAAAACAAAAGAAGCCTCCGCACAAAGAAATAAAGAAGCAAAATTTCCATAAAATGAAAATTGTTGTTGATATATCAATCGCAGCCAATTTTTATGGCAAAGCCAATGATGTTATGAGAATATATTATCATTTTTATTGAGTGGATCAATAATAATATTTTTTTATGTTTAGTCAATGCCGTATCGGAGAAAAACTTTAATGTAGTAAAATTTACTGTGATTGTGATGGAAATTAATTAATTTATGTGATTGGAGGCAAAAGAAGTTAAATATCTTTGAAGTTTTGTGGGGATGGGTGATGGGAGGGTTCTTGGAAATATTCAGAATATAAACAAAACTAATATTTGTTGTCAAAAATATGAATGATGTATTGCTGTATTCCATAAAATTGAAATTAGCTATTTTGTGTCTTTTGTCCCACATTTTAGGATGATAAAGCTATTACATGAAAACTTTCCGACCTACAAGAACATTTTACATCAAAAATTCGTTTAATTAATGTTTTTCATTTTGAACTTCAAAAATTTTTCATCTTCAATGTTGTTTTTTTGTGGAATAAAATTTTTAATGAGTTCCATTGAACTTACAGCAGAAAGTGGAACAAACTTTATTAATTATTGCTGTCAAGAATATTGTTCAATTTTTTGAAATGTTGAATCTTATTAGGGATGTTTGCAAATTACGTCACCCCCCAAAAAAAACTACTTTTTCGAATCTCCCTTTTGACACAAAATCATCTTCCTTCCTCCTCTCCTTCCTTTAAGGTGTGATGAAATTGGTAAACGAACCTAAAGAGGTTAACTATTGCTGCCACTAAATTTATAATGAAAACCAAAGACAATTCTGAAGAAAATCTGTAACAACCTTAACTTGTCGCCATTAAAACCCACCACAATTTTCAATGTGTTTAAGAAAACAGCTCTCGAAATCAGCATGGAAATTTTTTCATTAGGCACAACTTGATTGCCAAAAATAATTTGCCTTCAAATCATTCCGAGAATTTTTGATTTAAAACAACTTTGACTTGATGAATTAAATGTTTTTCGTAAAGGAAATAAAAATTACAAAATTCCAAAAAAAAAAATTAATTTTCAACACGTCATGTAGACTTAAGTTGTTTGATTGATGTTGTTTTCGGAATTTGAGCTAAGTTCTTCAAAACCTGCCACAATTTCTCATTAAACGCTCATCTTTGTGAAGGTTAGCTATCTTGTTGTGTTATTGGTAACTGAAAGAGGATCACTATTAGGTGCGTAGCCAGGGATGCGGAGATGAACTCCCCTTTGTCAACAGAGTTTTTTTTCAATTTACTAAGATTTTCAATTGAAAAATCTAAGATCCATCTTTCTAAAATATTTCCATACAAATTTTTTATTGGTTTCTCCTCTTCAAATTTGTGATCAAATCTTAATCTTTATTTAAGAAACAAGTCAGCATCAGTAGTTTATTTTATTATTAAAACATAATTTTTACCAATTTTTAAGCCACTTTTAACTATTTGAAAGAAAAGACTCTATTGTTTGTTTTGCTTTTTTTGCCTCTTTTGTCTAATTTGTCTCTTTTGGCTCTTGTTCCTCTTTTGCCTCTTTTACCATTTTTGCATCATTTGCCTCTTTTACCATTTTTGCCTCTTCTACCATTTTTGCCTCTTTTGCCTCTTTTGCCTTTTCGCCTCTTTGCCTCTTCTACAATTTTTGCCTCTTTTGACTCTTTTGCATCTTTTGACTCTTTTAACTCTTTTACCATTTTTGCTTCTTTTACCATTTTTGCCTCTTTTACCGCTTTTGCGTCTTTTATCTTTTTTGCGTCTTTTGCTTATTTTTCTCTTTGCCTCTTTTACCTCTATTCTCTCTTTTGTCTATTTAGTCTCTTTTGCCTCCTTTTCTTTTTTAACCGCTTTTGCATCTTTTGTCTCTTTTTCTTTTTTACCACTTTTGCATCTTTTATCTTTTCTGCATCTTTTGCCT